CCAAGGAGGGGGAAACCGAAGCGCCAAGGGGGGGAGGAGGAATTGAAGCATCCAAATAGCAGCCAAGGGACGGCTTGATTGCATCATTATATAAGTTTAAACTATTTGATCTCTCTCATCCACCAAAGAAATATCACTCTAAAGTTTAGTCAAAGACCTTTTATAGTGAGGTAGAGAGTTTATATTAATTACTCCGAAAAATCAGTAGTGACCTTCTAAGAATGATGTGCAACCTCTTTCATCCTTTATGGTAGGCAATTATGTAAAGACACATGTCACTTTTTTATTGGTGTTGCATGGAGCATGTTTTAACTAGTTCGAAGACACGTCGCAATGCCTCATAATTCCATCAAGGACGATTGAACAAGCTGGCCCAAGGAGCAAAGAAATTGATATGCAATGGCTGATCAAATAAAGGTATGTACAAAAGTAGAAGTCATAGGTTGGTGGCTAAGGAGGAATGTCATCAAGCAACCAACAGGTTTCCAACGTCGACCAATTGGCTGGTTTGGGGTAATCAACACTAGAGCATTGGTGCAAACCTTTCACCATAAGACGAGCTTTGTAAGGATTAATAGATATAGCAAGATTGTATTTAATGTGAAACACTCACTTGCATTTAGGGGGTCGCATAACTTGTGAGTGGATTCATTAAGAGGAGATGATAAAAGAGAGGCAGTGAAGTTGAGCTTAAGCATTTTTTGGATAATGTTTTTACCTCATGTTCGCATGGAGACTATTGTTGGGTGCAAAAAGAATAAAAAGGTTGAAGAAGCAAGGTGATTTGAGGGCTCAAGAGATATATACTGAGCAAGGTGGGAGAGTCAGTGATAAGCATCTGGAGAGCTATCCTGGTGATTTCTCTCAGAGGTCTAAATTTGGGGGTAGAGTGAATAACAAATTTTGGGGAGGTATGTTAGAGATGCCAAGTGTAAGGTAAATGACGTAGCTGTTATGCATGGGCAAATTTAGTTGTATATGATGGGCAGAGTGAGGAGATAGCTATCCATAGGAAGGTAACTTGAGTCAACTTATTGTTCCTGCATATTGATAGTAGGTGAAGGAATGGACATGAGATTTATATAGGGTTGGATTTAAAGAGTGAGGAGTGCAACTTTCCATATGGAAGTGGACAGAGTCAAACTGTGGGTCTCGCAAATTAAATGCAGGCAAGGGAATTAGGAGTGGTATTTAAAAGAAGGTTGAACTAGATGGGAGCAAGAAATGAAGCAGTACATGCCAAATAGGGTGAGAATGTAACAATAAGAGCATCTTGAGAAGGGTGACAAGCAGTTAGTGGCATAGAAAAGTTCACAATTTGTAAAAAATTTATGTCAAAAACTCAAACCACTTAAAAAAAAGGTCTGAAAAAAACCAATAAGAGACATAGGTCAATCAAATGAAATTTTTTGAGTCCACAAATAACAGCATTTAATCAGCAAACATTACTTACAATCAGCAAAACAAGTGGTACCCCTTACTCCAAGCATACAAAGGAAAGTAAATAGCATTAACGATTAAAGATATAAAGAATTAATCAAAAAATACACTTCATCAAGAACATATAAAGTTGCAGATGATGCATACATCACCAAATGATGAAAATCTTTCCCGAATTACATCCTGTAGTTTATCTTCAGCTTCATCTTCCTTTATTTCTGAAGTAGAAAGTGCATATTAAAAGAAAATCACAGATAAAGAATAATTTGAAGTAATGCGACCAGATAAATACAGATTATATTGTATTAATCTGCAATGCACCGTATCATATTTTTCTATTTTTTGGAATTAGAATAAGCACGTAGGAAGCAAGGTGCAAATGGGAATAGTACAATAATGAATCAAGCACATAGACTATCAAACCAAAACATGTTCAAAATACCAAAAAATAAATACATTAAAATTTCTATCACCCATTCCCTAAAACATTCAACATGCTCCAGAACCAAATCCAAATTTTTAGAATGATTCAAAAAAAAGCAAATCAACTACTTAGGTGTTTATAGATGTCTAAAATAAAATTATCGTAATTTAAATTTCCTCTAATAAAAATTCTAGAGGACAGGCTTGGAGCAGTCTTTGACCTAGAGTTCATGGGTTAAGTAATGACAAAGCCTCTCCGTAATGCAAGGATAAATGGCATAAATCAACCAATCACCAAACCATTTGTTCAGAAAATATTCTACGCATTTAAAAAAGAATAAAAATAAATGATAAAATAAACATGTAAGCAAAAGTAATTGTTAGCAGCTAAAAACTTATATGGTTTAGGCTAAAAACGAATTTATTTCCTATCTAAGTAGAGTCATTAAAGTTGCTCCTTTTCAGCCTTTCAACCATTCAGCAACACATCCAACAAAATTAAGCTTAAAGATGCAAAGTTTACAAAAATTTACTAGCTTAAGTTCAATATTCTGATGTTTTTATGGTTTTTTTTCTTTTTAATTTATGTATCTTTTTTTTCAATTAAGTTTGTGATGCGGACATCCAACCGTCCATGCCTATCCGAGGAGGAGCTGAAGATCGACGGCCGAGATCCCTTCATTTTATCTTATTTTATTAATTGTAATTTTTATTTAATTATGCATTTTTCTTTTTACCCTTACTTAAGGGATTTGTTTTATATAAGCCCAAGGGGAAAAAGTGTCTTTTAGTTTCTTTTAAGGCCTATATATAGAGGTATTTGCTCTTGTATTAAAACATGATGGATTATCAATAAAAAAAAATTGCGTTTTGCACTTGGGTTCTTTGGGAAGAACGTTAGTGAAATCCCTATGGGAGGGAGTCGGAGTTTCCACCAGCCGCAGGATGGGTCCGGGCTCGTGGCGTGAAGTCCCTTGGAGAAGGGCAGCGTAGTACCCGTCAGCCGCAGGATGTGTCCGGGCTCGCGGTTGTATCTTTGATATTTTGTTTATTTGTTTTTGTTCCTTCTTATTGCTCTTCGTCGTTATCTTCATCTTCTTCCTCCCCCCATCTCCGTTTGGCCGCCGGATTTCTAGCCTCACCTTCACTCGATCCCACCCTCTTGGCCGCCGGCCCCACTCTCTTTGATTCTCTTATTTTGCTTCCTAATTTAGGTTGAGATCAATTGGAAATAATTTGAAATTCAAATTCATTCAAATTTGAATTCAAAATATTTTCTAAATGAGCTCATCTATTTTAGGAAAGTATTTAATTTAGATCTATTTTGAATTTTAAATTCAAGAGGATTTAATTAAATCTTTCCTAAATCTAAAACCATAAATCAGGAATCCTGATTTGCTCATTAAATCCCCTCCACCTCATCAAGCCGTTGCCCCCCTTTCCTTGCCTTTCCCGTCTAGCTGGCCGAATTTCTTCTCTGGCCTGCACCGTTCAAATCCTACCAAAAATCAGCCTCTGTCTTGGGGAATTAAATCCTGTCTCGAATTTCCTTTGCTGGCTAAAAATCTTCAATGCTGTCCCGTGGGAATTGCTGATCTGGAAGAGGTATCTCACGTTCACCTCTTGCTAAACAAATGCTTGAATTCCCCTTCCAATTTTCTTTGCTACTAAGCATAGAAAACTGAAGGTTTTCTCAGAATTTTTGGCTCAGATTTTGGTTCCAAAATCTGAAACATTTTCTGGATTTTGGAACCTCTCCCTAGCAAACCCTTTGTTTTTTTTTTGTTTTTTTTTGTTCTACATCAGCATCACTATGGAGCGAGGAATAATGTTTATGCCTATGAATAAGAAAAAAATATATAATAAGAATGAAATTCAAGAATCCTATGAAAAGCTATATCATATGAGTTAGGTGGATTGACTTTGATAACTTGCACAGGAAGATATAATTCCTGATACTGAAAAGTTCGTTAGCCTAACCTTTATCAGGAAAAGATGAATGAAAAGAAAATCCTAACTCTTGATATTGGAGAGTTATTTATCCCACTTTTTAAACAAGAGAATAAAAAGAAAATTCCCAACCCTTAATAATAGAGAGTTGATTAGCCCAACCTTTATTGAGGAAAATTAATACAATGGGGCCAAAACCTATAAGCATGATTGATATGACATTTCTAAAGTTATGAATATTAAGAATAAGCAAAGTGATGAAAATAAGAAATGATGTTAGTTTCATATTTATACAGCATTCCTAATTTAATTTTTCAAGATCTAACTAAAAATTTATGTATTAAATTAATATCTAATTCTTGGAGCTCACTATGCATAATTGTACAATTTCTGCTGTTGAAGAAATGGTTAAAATATTCTGCTCTAACTAATCTCAGTTTACCAGAAGAGGGAAATTTTAGGGATGTGAGTTGATATTCGAAGGATATGTTTAGTGTATTTATTCAAGTTCGCAGTTAAAGTTGCCAATTACAATAAAAATTTACTCATAATTAAAACCAGAGTAAATGACATGGCATTATGTAGCATTCAGGATAGTTTTTCCATCATCATCTTCGACATGGAATCGGGTAGAACCGTTGAATAAATAACCAATACTTCTTTATATTACATGACAAACAATAGTTAAGCTAAACCAAGTTATGAAAATTCACTTTGGCCATGAACAATCGAAGAAATGAGTACGTTCTCGAATCAAAAGGAGATAACTATAACCAACCAAAAAAATTTCCACTAAAGGACACATTGGAATATGCTATAGAATGTAAACATAATTAGGGTGAAGAATTTAACGTAACAGCTAGTCTTGAGAACAAACAGATCATGTTCATGGCCAACAATAAAGAAACTAAATGTAACCTGTGAAAATTAGCTTCGTCCATGACAATCTATCAGACGAATAACTTTTGAAAAAAGAAACAAGATAAGCATAATTAACCAAAAAAAAAAAAAGTTGTATTCTAGAACTTATCAAAAAATGCAAAATAACGTAGATTGACCAGCATGAAAATTTTGAAAGAACGGCTATAGAAGCTAGAACAAATGGATCAATTCACAAAACATAGAAGTGCACACAATAATGCAAGTTTACCATACAAGTAGCCAAGTAACTCAAAATAAAACTCTACCTCATAACACTTCTGAGCTTGCTCAACTTTCCGTTGTAAAAAATAAAACTGTCCTAGGTTGTGCAAAGTGGCTCCTACACTGCAAACATCAGCAGAGTTACTGTACTAAGCATGCAAAACAATGAGTTGAGAGCATGAAATGCTAACTTTGGCATACAAGTTAAGTGTAACATGTGCAGAAAAGAAAATTTGTCAAGTTCTTAGATAAATACTTGATTATTTTCTCACTCAAGCATATTTTTAGACAGAAAATTAAATTGAAACCTTATCAAATCTTGAATTTCTACTATATAGTGCAGCAAAGAAGAAAACGTAACGCAAATATCATGAAATACTTAACACACCGGATGTCATTAGTCCCAAATGATTCCTCTAGAATGTTAATTGCTTCTAAATATAATGGCTCAGCTTTATCAAATGCCTTTCTTGTCCTGTAAATTTCTGCCTGCATCAACCAAATTTAATACATTAAAAAATTCTTTACTAGAAAAAGAGAGTTTCACTATAAACAGAGAAATCGGGATCAATCATCTAAGCAGAAAATTAGAGAATTGAATTAGTGCAGCTTAAAAAATTGGCATCTTAAAATTAAAAAAAGAGAGGAATTTTTCCTTTCTCATGATATGTTAGGTGCCTAATATTGTATATTCTTATTCAAGACTTCTATCACAACAAGTAGTTTGCTTACAAACCAACCAAGATGCAATCAATCCAACACAAATTGCCTTGAGAAAAAAATTGCTTTTAGGACAGAAATGGTTCCAAATATTCCAGGAACTTCTTGCTCCTATTGGATAATTTATAATTTTATATCTAGCACATCAGAACCCTGATACATGATCCTCTCAGTTTTAATCCCACACTATTTAAAGTTTCCAATTTAACCAATTGACTCCTCAAAAATGATCCAAAATAATCCAACAATAAGGATCATTATTTAATTCGGTGGAAATTTCATGCAAAGTTTATAGAAGAGGTAGGTAATGAGGATATTTTTTGAAAATAAATTTTTATATATTTTGATTTGCATAAAATACCCTCACTTCTCACCTCATTCATGAAATTTAGCATCAAAATTTCTATCAAATTAAACTATAGTGCTGACGATAGGACTATTTTGGATTATACTTAAAGAATCAAATCTAAATTGAACACTTTAAATAGACGGAAACTAAAATGAACCCCCATCCCCACATTATATATATATATATATATATATAGAAATATAATATATTATAACTTAGAATATGTATTTGCATTTACTTTTCTTCTATTTAATAATGAATAATATTGAAATATATTATTTTATAGTTTAACATATATATGTACTTTGGATCTCTCTTTTATTTGATGATTCTTAGATGAAGAAAAATCAGATTAAACATGATATTTTCTAACTTCATAAAAATATAACTATCCTATCTACGCTTATCTCATTGCCAAACAAACCATAAAATTATAAATATAAATTGAACTATGCTATCTTGTAAATAGAAAGTTTCTAAATTATTAATGTCATAATCTTCGATGTTCATCTTGTAAATTCAGTATCAAAATGCCATGGATTTTCAAAGTATTTACCTCCTTAATTTACATAATATGGTTTAATATTCTAATTTTAAGATGTAAAAATCTTAAATTTAATCTTCCCTTTTTTCGCACCTCTCAGAGTTTATAAAAATTGTTTTTAAAAAAAATTTTAAATTGTACTGATTATTTCGACATATATATATATATATATACATGAAATAATTTAGCTCAATTAAAATTTTTCCTAAGTTAAAAATGTAAATTTCACTATTCAACCAATTATTGTCATGTAGCAAGGGTATAAAAAAATCGGAAATCCCACCTAGGGCCGCATGCATTGGCTGGAGGTTTAGTGCTAAGGGCAATTTAGGGAAATTTGAATTCATTTATTTAAAACCTAATATCATTAGTCTTCACGTTTCAATTTTTTAGGGAGAGGCTCACAACCAGGAGAAATTATTACGTGCGGAGTCCAAATGGGAGAACAGTCCAGATTTGCTGAGTATTTGCCCGAGTATTTGTAAATACTCAGTAAATACTCAGCAAATACTCACAAAATATGTGAGTATACTTAGCAAATCCAAATGGCTATCCCGTCCGAACATAATAATTTATCTATGACCTGAGGTGGCAAACAAAGAAGGGACCATGCTGCCAAAGGGAAGGAAAAGGAATTTTGGTGGTAAAGCTGGGTTTTGAAGGTAAATCTGACTTTTTGTATTTTTTTTTCTTTGTTGAATAAGCTACGAATAGGAGTTCGAGAGCTTGGGATTTCTGTGAAGTATTTTGAGGTAAAAGTGTTATTTTGAGAATGAATCTCAATTTAACTATTCCAGGAAGTTAAATTGAACATTAAACTAAAAAAAAAATCTATTATTAAGTAGTATGCAAATGAAAGGGGGTTGGGTGTCGATAGCGAGCAAATTTATCCGGGAATTGATTGTCGATACCCTCAATTAGGTAAGATACATAATTTTCATTTCAGAAATCAAATTTATAACAATGTTATTTTTCATCATCTGCTTTTTTTAAATTTGAATATAAATTTTATTTTTGTTTTATTTTAAAAGTACATGCATAAAAAATTATAAGATGAAAATGAGATGTATACATCTAGATGTTATAACGATGTAATTTAATGAAAGGAGCTTTAGAAAAATCATGCTTATGGACAGAATGGTAATGTGACAACCAATACAAACAATAATGGTAGGGTGACAAAGTCGAGCCCATCGGATGGCCAAAGAATCCTTCAGTTAAGATGTTTATGTAGACTTGTGTAGGTAGGGCACCAAAAGCATACCCATAGTTGGTCCTCGACATGGCTTTCAAGTTACAGTGGTCAAATGAACCACTTTCACATACATGACATATTCTAAAGCTGAAAAAAAAAATATTGTATATAATATATGTAATCAATAAAAAAAAATTTATAGATGGTTAGCCAATAGTGTCAAGAAATATGATTAATGTCTGAAACTCTAATGTTAACTAAGCTTATTCTAAATTCGATACTTTAATGGTAATTTAGGCATTTCATATGTGAAAACTTTAGGTACCATATTAGACTAACATTAGTATATTACTATAAGTAAAATCCTATAATAACTGGTTTTTTTATCTTTAAATTGTTTATCTTACTGAACATTAGCTCATATCCTGGTATGCTAAATATTTTCAGCAAGGGAAAGGACAAGATAGAACCCAAATAGAGGTCAAACCTTGATTCTTTGGGTGTATAGTTTTAGTGTGCAGTTTTGTTGTAAATAGAGTTTTAGCAGATATATCCATTATTTTTATCTAAATTTTTTTATGATATTTATAGAATCCAGAATTATTTTAGTTACTCTATAGATGAATGGATGATTATAGTTGGCAATTGCTTTTGTTTCAAAAAAAGGTATAATGTGCATAGTCGAACAGACAACATTCTAAATTTCGCATGAGTTAAAAGTTATAATATGTATGGTGTAGTTGTGTTTTCCTGTTCGCCTCAGTTCGACTTAGAGAAGTCGTTGTGGGGTATAAATATAGTTATACATAAACATCTAAAGTCCCTTCCCATAATTATTCACATTGCATCATGAAATGAAAGACTATTGTATTCAAATATCAAAATTCACATACCAAAAACTAGCTTCCACATTTTATTTGCAGAGTGCAGAACAATACAACCTACTCACACAAGTTTACGTAACACTAGTGAATCAAATTAGGACAACACACCAGATTATTGCATGATGATGCAACATGTGAATCTCTTAGTCCAAAACCTTCCTTGGCTTCCTGCAAAGCTGCCTGAAAATACTTTTCCGCCTCATCTAATTTACCCTGCAAGCAAAGCAGAACTTCAAAATATTACAGGAAACTAATACTAAATGATCAACTTATGAAATCCAAATATAAATCTGAATGCAAGGTTTACACAATAAAAAACATTAGGTCAACCAGAACAGAATTTGGAAGGCATCATCTACCAGCTAAGGCTAACAGGTTGAGCAAAAGATGATGAGCGTTTCTAATCTAGCTGGTACAAAGCCATGCTTGAACTAAGCTAGAAGAATTGAGATCCAAAAAATTATTCACATAAATCCTTCTAAGCCAGTTTAAGTGTCTAACATGACATAAGAGAGTTTGTAAATAAGGTCAAGCCAAATAAGCATTCTTTAGATGCCTCCAAAAACGACTGAGTACAGTATTGGGCTTGGATGAAAGAAAATGGAACAGCTTGCACTGTAACCTAACAAGTGAGACTGCAAACTTTAGTGGTATGAAGTCAAAATAACAAATAGAACATAAAACCTACAAGGCAATATCAACTTGACTTTACATGAGTTTAGAATTAAAGATTCCCATTGAGCCATTACTGCAGTCTTAAGTTCAAAAAATCAGAATCTATGATGTCAAATCACTGGCTAAAGAAATTGACAAAAAAAACACAAGCGTAGCCCAAAGACAAATATACAAGCTTATTACTACAGACCAAACTCAAGAAAATGCATTAGAGAAAAGAACATCAAGTTCCATACTTTTAGAAAGAGATCCCTCCCATTATCAGTGAAAATTCTCCACTTTATAGTATGAGAATTTGAGATCACGGAACCATCTTCGATTCTGCGCAGACCAGTTACAAAATCATCTCCCTGATCATTATTGATGGTTAAGTTAGATGCTGAAGCATCTTCAGCTATGACAACATTTCCACTAAACCCAAAAGAGATGGCTGCACAATCACAAGATAAAAGAAGAATAATGCCAAGTGTAAGCATAAGTTCATAAAAGTGAAAGATAATCCCTAATTGAAGAAATAGAGTATACTCCTTTAGAAACCACGAATTTGTCAACGTGCATGGATAACAATGACCCTGCACACGGTTAAATATAGATTTCCTTCTACTTGAAAACCATTGTCCCAAGCTTAAACATCCTAGGTCAAACTCAGAATTTAGTTTTGGTTAGAAACAAAGAAAAAAGTATGCAGCTGAATCCATCTTTTTCCGCTGGCCTCCCAAACTGCAATAAAATATGACGCTTCCCCTTTATGGTTTTCTAAATGCTTCAACTTCTGTATCTATACTTGCTATAACGTAGCCAGCTGAAAAATCATCCAATCTATAGTTTAAGCAGTCAAATGTATACAAACAAACCAAAAACCTTAAACTTACAAAATGCAGCTTACTTCTTGTAAGCATATACTGTATCTCCCGAGAGAACGCAAGAATAAGGTTATGTGGAATGCTTGATCCAACAAACCGACCATAGTTAACATACAATATAACTAGCATACCAGATAGAAGTAGGATCAGGAATTGCAAAGTTAAGCAAGGGCTATACAGAAGGAAAAATAATGATAAATAATGGAGATATATTAAATACAAATATTTAATAACCAGTCAAGTGAATAACCCTGAACCATTAGTTAAATATTAGATACATACCAGTTGATCCAAACAGTAAAATCTTCAAAATCAACTGCCAAGAATTCCTTCTGCGAGTAGACAAAAAATAATCACATTTGTGCAGACCAATAGAACCTACAAAACATAGAAAATTGCATAATCATTTAACGTGAATTTTTTAATTGCAAATTTATAGCCTAAAGCAAAACATTACCTATAACAACTGCTATGATAAAAAATACAATTTTTACAATATGACTGGCTTGCAACGCCAATCGCTAATTACTTTTCGAATTTAAAGATTACATTAACTTCAACAAAAAAAATTTTAAAAACCACTTTTAGATAGAATATGGACCTTATGGTATAAATTTCAAACCAAATCTTACAACTTGACCTTTATCACTGGTTTCACTTCTTCGTTCCATTCTTTTCTGAGGGGAAGAAAAATTGAACTAATTGAATTTCATGGTATTAGCAAACTTGAATTTTAAAGTAACGTTTGCTCTTGTAATAAATAACACATATTTTAAGAAATGATAAGAGGACAACTTGCAGCAATATAAATCACAAATTGACTTCTTTCTCTTGGAATGAAAGAAGAATTTTTCATTCAAAGAATCTAGGACTATTCTAAAAGAAAGTTTAACCACACAAAAAATGAAGTAGCAGATAGAATGCATGTTCAATAGTGTAAGAAATAACAATACAACAACAACAACAACAAGTATTTATCCCACTACGTGGGTCAGGTAAATGAATCTTTTTTCTCCATTGTGTCATGCTAAAAGTCAAATTCTCATTTAAATCTAATAAAAAAAAGTTCATTTCTAATGTTTTCTAACCAAGTCTTTTTAGTTCTACCTCTACCTCTCTTAACATAGGCCAAATTTAAAACATCTACTTTCCTAACCGAGTCATCAAAAAGCCAATGTTTTATGCAATCAAACCATCTAAGGCGACTCTCTCTAACCTTATCTGGCACTGATGCTACTCCAACCTTTTCACATATATTCTCGTTTCACATTCTGCCTCTAAGAGTAAGGCCACTCATCCACCTGAGCATCTTGATCTCTGCAACACTTAACTTAAGTATATGCTTCTCCTTTAATGGCCAACATTCTACGCCATAAAGCATTGTAGGTCTGACCACCATCTTATAGAATTTTCCCTTAAGTTTATGGGGATACTTTTCTATCACACAACAGCCCGATGCTTATTTCCACTTCAACCATCCAACTTGAATTCCACTCGAGATATCTAAAATGAGTACTCTTATTAATGACTTGATCGCCCAAAGCCACCATCCCCCCACTAGATATATTACTACTAAAATTACACTCCATGTATTCGATTCTAGATCGACTCAAACGAAAACCTTTAGACTCTAAGGTTGAACTCCATAAATCAAGGTTACCTTCAACTCCCTCTCTAGTCTTATCAACAAGAAGAATATCATCAGCAAAAAGTATATGACATGGTACATCCTCTTGCAAATGTCTAGTAAGAACATCCATGACAAAAGCAAAAAGATATGGGCTTAAAGCCGATCCTTGATGAAATCCAACTGAAATAGGAAAATACTTGGTCCAACCACCTTGTATTTGAACACACGTAACAACTCCTGCATACATATTCTTAATGGCTTTAGTATAAGCATTATCAACTCCTTTCTTTTCTAAAACTCCCCATAACACTTCTCTTGGAAATTTATCCTAAGTTTTCTCCAAATCAATAAATATCATTTGTAGATCCTCCTTATTCTCTTTATACACCTCTATCAAACCTCTCAATAAATGTGTAGGAATGGTGGAACATTTAGAATGCATATTTCATCTTATTGATGTGAGCCCTTCACCACATTAGAAACCTCAGACTTATGATAATGGATGCTTGGATGAAAATTAAATAAAAAATAAAAAATAATGGTTTCTTTTATTCCTCTATTATCTTCCTCTCCTATGATTGATATTTGAGATGTCAATTCATGTTAGCAGATCAGATTTGGGTACGACCCAATGTTGACCCACCATACCTACTCAACCCAAACACAACCTATTTACTGAACGGGTCAAAAAGCATGACCCAAACCCGAACCACCTTCAACCCATCTAACTTGAACCCGACCTGAGTGACCGGTTTAATCTACATATGTTCATGTGGGCACAGAAAATAACATTAATATTTATGCATAAATTAATTTTTTTATGGCTATTGCTCAAATTTAATATTTATGCTCCTTCTCGATACTCATTGTAAAAATGTAAATACTTTCATTATATATATATATTATATATATATATTATATATATAATATAAATATATATAATTATATAAATATATCATATAATATTATATATATATATATCATCTACTTATATATCCATGCAATACTTCAAGTTGCATAATGAGATACATAAATCATGCTCATATATATGCATATCTCATAAAGCAATATGTACAGCAAAAAAGAAGGGTAGAGATTGTGAAATTTGAGATTATAAGGTTTGTTTTACACTGGGTGAAATGGCATAGATGGCATGCAAATAGACTTGCGATATCTTAATAATATAGGAACTGGGAAGACACAAATGGCACATATTGCATCATGCTATTTAGAGCACATAATAGGTTTAAATTTGAGTCAAGTTTGGGTGTTTTCGTGTCAACCCAAACCCAACCCAAAAATTAAACAGGTTAGAATCCTAATCATGACTCGAAAGTTAATTGGACCATCCTAACCCAAATTTTTCAAATTGGGTTCATGTCAAGTTGCATATCAAGTAATTTAATGACACCTCAATTTGGTATCATTAGCCCCACTCCTCTCATGGTTCGTGCAATTAATCTATACCCCTTCTTGATTAGTGTTAGATAATCCATACATGACCACTTTCTTCTATGTTTTCATCATCATCTTGGTATTTTCACAAAACTCTCACTCCCCCCTTTGTTGTATTCCACTACATAAAATGATTACAATCTCAACAAATTGGAATTAGAATAAACTCTTATCTAAGGATTTTAAAATGCCCTAACCTCATATCCATTATCCTACTATCCAGAATCCTGTGTCATACCCGTCAACCATCACTCTGAATCATGCTTCTCTTTTAATGGCCAACATTCTGTGTCATAAAACATTGCAAGTCTAACCACCATCTTATAGAATTTTCCCTTAAGTTTGAGTAGTACTTTTCTATCACACAATAAGCCCGATGCATTCCTCCACTTCATCCATCCAACTTGAAATCTACTATAATATCACCCATCTATTTCACCATCACTCTGAACAATAGACCCAATATATCTAAATATGTACTCTTATTAATGACTTGATCACTCAAAGTTACAAACCCACACTATATCTATTACTATGTAAATACCAATAGATTTAGTATAATCATGGAATCTAAATAAACTTTGCACATCAAAGAAATCAAGAGCACTCTTCAAATGCTGAAAGAAGTCCTAACATTTTTCCAAAAACAAAAAGGAGCATATTTTCTTTAAATGATAAAAGAAATCCTAGCTCTTTTGAAGGATCAACAAAATCTTCATTTGACAAAATAAAAATCAAAACGATAGACTACTACATATGAAATTATCCGGGACTTTCAGATAACATGTGATGAACCATGCAATGTAAACATTTCTTTCCAAAAAAAAATTGTCCCTTTAGTACAGGAACTAGAAATTACTTGCCCTCCTAAAACTAAAACTACACTCCACATAATCATAATAATCACCTCCAAGGCTCAGCACAGTCCAACACTCTTGGGTTCACCAAAGTCACCACCTATAATCCTATTGTAACCATCGCTTTCATATCTCAAGTACCGCCACTAGGTATAAGTATCGCCACCCCCAAGCTCTCCATCACCACTCTCAAAATTGTAGACATTGTCAACCTAAAGTCAAACACTCCAATTGCTACACAAACTTTTGGCATAAACCATGACTAACATATATCAATAAATCCACACTAACTCTCCTCATTTGTTCCGAGCAATGCTATTATCAACAGGATTCACAAGCATTAAGGCATTATTGTACAAACAGATCTCCAAATGTTTAGAGGAGGTTGAAATTGTCTATTTAAATTTTGCAACAACTGTAAGTTAATAATTTAGGTCAAATGCAGGGAGTTTTCCCTTTTGAATTATCCATGTTAAAAAAAATTTGTCTATTTGTATTAGAGTGCCCGAAAATTCTAAGGCATAGACTATCACAATTTCCTTGTGCTCTTCATGTTCAGTTTTATAATAAATCCATTTGCATGAACAAATAATAAGAGTATAATACAAGATTCTTTTTTTTTTTGCATGATTAAAATTTTCCATATAACTAAAATTAGGATAGGAACTTGGAATATAGGTTCCCTTACAGGAAATTAATGGAATTAATAGATATTATGATTCATAGGAAGTTAAATATTTTGTGCATTCAGGAAACTAAATGGGTTGGAGATAAGACTAAGGAAATTGATAATTTATGATTTAAACTTTGGTATTCGGGTAGGAGTCGTACTAAAAATGGTGTAGGTGTTATTATAGATAAGAGTTTAAAGGATAATGTTATAAAAATTAATATGATTGGAGATAGAATTATAGCTTTAAAGATTGTTGTTGATGATAAGATTGTTAATATTATAAGTGCTTATGCTCCTCAAGTAGGTTTGAATATGAGTTCTAAATTAAATTTTTGGAATGACTTAGAAGAATTAATACAAAATATACCTCTTGAAGAAAGAGTTTTTATTGGATGAGATTTAAATGGACATGTTGTAAGAGTAGATATTTTAAAAGCATTCCTTGGTGTCATAGATTTTGGAACAAACGAATGAAGGTGAGCAGAACCATATTGATATTCTATTTGTTTAGCTTATATGATTTTTAATTGATAAACCTTATTTAAGAAAAGGATGAGCTTCTCATCAACTTATAAAAATGGATATAATACAATCCATAAAGATTGACTATTTTCTTTTAGAAATTAATCGTTTAGATTGCAAAATTGTAAAGTTATTATGCAGTTGAAAATTTATGTCCAACATCGATTATTAGGTTGCCGTTTAAGATAAAGGGAGAAGCAATAAAAATAAAAAATAAAGTAAAACAATTTATTCTAGGACATTAAATGGCAGGCATTTAAAGAATATACAAATATTTTTTTGAAAAATATGGAGCAGATTTTAAAGATCTTAAGATTTTGTTCTGTGCATGAGATGGCTAATATTATTGGGAAAAAGTGGCTAGTGATATTTAGAATAGCAAAAGAATGTCCCTTGGAGTTCAAAGGGAAAGCTCCTTAGTAAAATAGTTGGTGGTCGGATCCTAATGTGGCAAGAAAAATTTAAAAATAAGAAGCGTTTGGTTATAAAAAATTGGTTTAATTTTACCAAATTCTGATAATTTGGGAAATATATAAAAAGTGCTCGTTACCGGATGGGCTAGAAGGAATATGAGATGCAAACGGCATTAGCTTTTGTGAGTTTATATAATAGATTCAGATACTAAAGAGGGAAGAGGGATAATATGTATAGGGGAGTTTTATTGTGCCAAACAAAGAGATAGAAGTAGTAAGGATTTAGTTCAGGAAGTGTATTAAAGATGAAGATTCTGAAGAAAATATATTGTTCTTATATAGACAGATGATTCATATCAAAGGATGGATGGAGATATTTTTTGCTAAACTTTTTAATGAAGATTGTGAAAATAGGATTGACTATAGTGACTAAGCACCCTAAAATGAAAATAAGATTTATGTTTTTATCGCGTATTTAGTAAAAACTGAAGTTAGGAGCTTTAAAGAAAATGAAGGGTGGAAAAGCTGTTGAGCCTGATGATATTTACCAATAGAGGTGTGAAATGCTTAGGAGTGAAGGAATTTCATGGCTTACTAAACTTTTTAATGACTATTATTGAAGACTAGAAGATTCAGATTAGTGGAGAATGATGTGTTATTCCTTTTTTAAGAATAAAGGGTGATTGGCAGCAGAGCATTGTACGGGCGAATATCGACTTGGATGCAGCTTAATGTAGAGGCTTGGTCAACCCCTCAGCACAGGTTTTTGGTAGATATCGCTTGTGTCCGGTTGTTCCCAGCACCTGTTTTACATCTTGTGAAATACAATGCCGTAGTTGATGCCTCGATTCTCTGTTCTTATTAATGGTAATATTAATAAAATCTATGAAAAGGAATTATTGATTTGAGAGCATTAAAAGTGAGATTCAGGCGGGATGTGCATCGGTTTTTTTTCTCGATCATACATTTAATAATCTATGGGAGCGAGTTATTGTGATTCATAGGTTGCGGCGTGATATTTTGATATTGTTTTTTCTTCATCAATTTTTGTGTTATTCATTATGCCGGGTTTTTCTTTGTTTCACAAAGATTCTGATCTCGAAAATGCATTCTATTGGATATCAGCAATCATACTTTATTAAGGAGGTTTGATGGAGGGAAATATAGAAGATAAAGGAGCGATCTACATGATTGATTATTGTATTTGGGGAATCTTTAGAAAGCATATGATGCAAAGTTCAAGAGAGTGCTATGTTGAGAAGTGTCTTTCTTATTGAATAAGAACCAGGAGTCAATAGAATGCTTATACTCCTGCCTATCACGCAATATTTGGAATGTCTGAATCATGTTAAAGATATTATGCAGAAGAGCTTTCCTTGTGTTCATGCTTTCTCAATCATTCTCTGGGCAAGTGGACACAAGGTGGATTGACCAAGTATTTCTTCTTTCGGTTGGGTTATCTCAAGGATACGTAGCCTTATTTGTAAGCCCTATCTTTTTGCTTTATTCATGGATGTTATCGGAGACTAAACGGAGAGAAATTTTGCAAGAGGGATACCGTTGGTGTATTGTCCTCTTTTGCTGATGAAATTTTCTTTCTTGTTGAGTGTTGATAGAAACTTAGACAGAGGGAGAAGGTTGAAGGTAAACTTGAATTATGGAGGTCAACCTAAGAGTCTAAAGGTTTTTCGCTTGAGTAGATCTAATAAACGGGTAATCATATAGAGTGTAATTTTTATAGTATTATAGACCTAGTCTTAAGTGAGGGGGATTAAAGCTGACTTTTGGGGCGGATACACGTCAAGTGCCAGGTAATTTGTCAAGCAGTCACGGTTTAGATATCTGTATAGGATTTTTGTCAGACCATCGCCCCACGCATGATCGGTGAAATTCACAGATGGGACGCTCCATATTATCCAGACAGGAATCATCTAATGATTTTGATGTTTTGAAGTGGAGGTTTGGTGCATGGCATATTTCTCATCACTCGGCGGATCAAGGGTTGAATTTTTTTTTTTTTGGAAAATAAGAGTTTTTGGTGAGATTGCAATAAGTCGTATGAAGGAGGTCTAGAAAATGGTTTATTTATTTTGGTTTATGCATAAGAAGAATTGGTATATGCTGAGATTCTTCTTATTTTTTTCAATTTTAAAAAAAACCTGGCTAAAAGTTGAGTGTTTGGGGACGAACACAGAGACACTGAGTTCTTTAGCAGGGATACTGATGATTGGAATATATTTGTTTTTCCAGATTTTAGTTATTTCTATCACTA